TGTATTTGGGTGTGGTCATCGATCACAATTACACCATTATTCTGCAGTGTTTGTGTATTATCACAGTTGGAATACAGGTGAGTTTCTGAATGGATAAATTTCGTCGAACAGAATATCTTTTAATAAAGCGACCCACTTCTCACAGGGTGCAACCAAACATTTGAACGCACTTTTCAATTCGAAATTAATTCGTTTCATTTGTTCGGACCTTCAAACCATATACGAGGAATACGAATGTAAAAATCGACACTATAACAACATTACTCTAGTCTTGGTGAAACGTACGATTTATGTTCTGTTCCAAATCAACTTTATTTTGACAACCAGCGGATTTGCAGTACCCTTATTCTATTATGTGGCACGGAATGAGTCAATCGATATTATACCGGGTGTCGATCCAAACACCGCTATCGGCAATACTATCTATCGGTTATTTCACGCTTCTTATATCATCTTTTCGGCGCTTGGTAACTACGTCTATGATACGTTTGTGATTCTAATCATTGTCCATATACCGCTGATGAAGAACATCCTCAAGTTGAAATTTGATGAGTTGGATGAGATATTGGAGCTATATCCAGAGCCATTGCTAAAGGAAATTTTTCAGTGGCATCAAAAGTATATTTTGTAAGAACCCTAAATCGGATTCAAGATGTTTGCATATATGTCCACTTCTTCTTCGTAGAATAACCGAAGCTATACAAACAATGCCACGTTGAGCATTATTTCCACAATTGTTTGCCTGTTTTTGCGTGTGTGGCCTGTGGCTCCAGTATTTTTATACCCTTCACCACACTGTGGTACAGGGTAATTATGTCTTTGTGCATATGTTTGTAACAGGCAAAAGGAAACGACATAGACACATGGTTCCTTTTGAGAATATGCATAGAATCACTTTTTAAGTCGATTTATGCATGTCCGTCCGTCTGTCCGTCTGTCTGTCCATGTATTTTTGTGAACAAAGTACAGGTCGCATTTATGATCCGATTTGGATGAAATTTGGCATAGGTCACTTATTTGGCCCAAGGACGAACCCTATTGAAATTGGGAAAAATCGGTTCAGATTCAGATATAGCTCCCATATATATATTTAACCGATTTAATGTAAACGGTCCCTATATATCTTTCGATTTGCAAGAAATTTGGTACAGCCTAATCATTTAGGTCTAGAATGATGCCTGCCAAATTTCGTGAAAATCGGTCCAGATTTAGATATAGCTCCCATATATAGTTTCGTCCGATTTCATGTAAATGGTGCCCCAAAGACCCTATATATCCTTCAATTTGCACAAAATTTGGCATAACGTACTGAATTAAGCCTAGAGAGATGTCTGCCAAGTTTCATCGGTCCAGATTTAGATATAGCTCCCATATATAGTTTCGTCCGATTTCATGTAAATCGTGCCCCAAAATCCCTATGTATCTTTCGATTTGCACGAAATTTGGCATAACGTACTGAATTAAGCCTAGAGTGATGCCTGCCAAGTTTCAAGAAAATCGGTCCAGATTTAGATATAGCTCCCATATATAGTTTTGACCGATTTCAGGTAAATGGTGCCCCAAAGTCCCAATATATCTTTCGATTTGCACGAAATTTGGCATAACGTACTGAATTGAGCCTAGAATGATGCCTGCCAAGTTTCGTGAAAATCGGTCCAGATTTAGATATAGCTCCCATATATAGTTTCGTCCGATTTCATGTAAATGGTGCCCCAAAGTCCCTATATATCCTTCGATTTGCACGAAATTTGGCATAACGTACTGAATTTAGCCTAGAGTGATGTCTGCCTTATAGATTGATTTTAAGTAATTTACGCACCAAGAAACCAATAGGAACAAAACGTTCTAAAATTAGTATAACCTAACCTGTGACAAGTGTGTTTGAAATCGCTTAATATTTGGATAGAGCTTCCATATATATTTTCGCCCGATTTCAAGTAATCAAACTCCTCATGTTAGTCAGATTGACATCAAATTTTGCACAACGTACAAAATTGAGCATAGAATTACGTAGTTGCGTTTTCTAAAAGTACAGGCATAGCCCAACGGATGACCTATTTATATTTGTTTGAAGTCGATTTACATAATTTATGGACAGATCTAGGTAGATTCACATTTAGATAAATATCACATATTTTATTTCATCCAATTTCATGTTAATAGTCCTGTTTAATATACCCATAGTGGTGAAGGGTATCATATAGTCGGCCCCGTCCGACTTTACTACTTTCCTTACTGGTTGGTATATATTTTTGTGATTTTGTATTTTTATTGCGGCCTTATAAATCTGGTGGAAATTTCAGTTGAGAAAAATTAAAGTGGTTTTCATTAAGTTTTATATTTCATGGAATTGTATATACAATCCATCATATATTTGTGCTGTAAAACGTAATATTCTAAAGGGATTTAGTCATATCTGTCTATTGGTCCGACTGTTGTAATCACGTTATCTTCCGAACCAATTGAGGTAGAGTTTTGACATTTTGCATAGATTTTGTTTTTGTCAGCAGTTAGGTAGGCGGTACTTTTAGGATTTCGGATGCATTTTTCATTCTAACAAACAGATCTTCTTTCCAAAAATTATAAATATCGTTCCGAATTTAGTTACAGCACGCAAGGAAAGGAGATATACCCATATTTTTGAGTATATGAAAAAGTAAAAATTTTTTGAGAAAAAAATTATATTTTTTCTGAGTCGATTTATTTATATGTCAGTCTGCCTGTCTATGTATTATTCTAACTAAAGTACAGGTCAAACCCTATTGAAATTCGTGTTATAGCTTCCATATAAACTTTCGCCCGATTTTACAATAGTTTGTCCGACTGAGACAACATTTTGTGCAGCGTATCAAATTAAAGCTGGAATAAAGTGTATACAGTTTTACCGAAATAAGTTCAGATTTTGATATAACTCACATATATATTTTCGTCCGATTTTATATTAATGATGTACCATTGACACAACATTTTGCACAACCTTTCTAAAACATATGTTAGGATTCCTGAACTGATTTTTAACATAATTTCTTGTAATTCGATATTTAGATGACCTAACAACTATTATTTACGATTTCAAATGGTATGAACTCACAGCATCCGAACAGAAAATGATACTCATCATGTTGAGAGTGTCGCAGAAGCCGCCAACAATGACAATTGGTGATATGATGCCGTTGAGCATGAATACGGCCCTGCAATTAACTAAATCTATTTACACGGCTGCTATGCTCTGTGCTCTGTGCAATAATGCTGTTCTAGAGGAGTAGTGCAAAGAAAAATATCGAATGGATAAGATTTTTTATTAGATATATTGCGAAAATATTGCGAAAAAAAATATGTTGGATAACAAACAATTAGTCAAAAACAGGGCACCTGTAACTTGTAGTGAACGCCATGCCATTTTTTTCAATATCTATAAAAACAAAAATTCGAGACAATAATTGATAATTTTCTAACAACTCTAAATATTTCTCTAATAAAACCAAATAATAATTTCGAAGGGGGTTTTACATAATTATACCCTAGACTACTATGTTTGTAGGGTGTTATAGCTTTGTACAGCCACAAGAATTTGTAACGCCGCGATTTGTAACGCCGCGATTGTTGTGGAGACGACCAAAAATTTTATTTTCGTCTGTTTATCTGGACGATCCAGAAGCCACAATTATGAACCGAAATTTTAATCGAGGAATGGAATCTGGCCAAATAATAAGCATGACTGTTTCAGTGAAGATCGGTCAATATTTAGCGGGTCAAATAGACCACGACTTTTGTGCAAAAATGGCAAAATTTGCATTCTGGGGCGTATATATTTACTCCTGAAGGACCAAGAGGAGCGGTTGACCTTTAATGGTTATACGTAAATATTTAAAGGTGTCTATGTGCTGTGATATTGTTTATTTTCACTATTACACCATAGAGGGCGGATATGTCGCGCTGATCGCTTTAAAATTTAACAACACTTTTCGGTTATGTTTAGATGATATCTAGGGGTGCAATGAACCGAAAACTTTATTTTTGTCAGATGTTCTAGTCACTCCAGAGGCCATTATAATATTCAGAACATCAAATATTTTGCACGGTAAGGAAATCAGACCAAATACTTAGAATGACAGTTTATATGATGGTCGGTCAATATTCCTAGGGCCAAATCAAATGTTTATTTTATGGCGTAAATACGTCACGTCGGGAAAAATTATTTGGAAAATTTGCCTGAGTTAGAAAGTGGAGCTGTTGACATATTATCGGTCAAGAGGGTGCAAATATCGCGAAATATTACCCATTCTTAGCATATAGAACCGTAGAAAGCTAGATTTTCGAGGTAGTTGTGTAGGGTATCATATGATCCACTCACTGGTTTTTATTATTTTCTCATATTTTACATCAAGTTTACATCTTTTCCGCCATTAATAATTATCTCCGTATTTATATTTCACGAAAGAAGTCATATCGCTGGCCTGACATGAAAGGACAATAAGTCCACTTTTTACAGAAATTCAGATTTAGATACAGACATGTTCAATAAGTCAAAATACATGGATTTATGAAAAAGTCGACAATTATCTCATTTGCTGTTATTGTTTAGTGACGATGAGTACTTAGCAAATATAACGCATGTATTTTTGTATTTTTTGCCTTTACTTTACGTATTTAAGCACAATTAAAGAAACAATTTCTTCGACTTTGGTTTACCTTTTTGCGGCATTTGTTCGGAATTGCAAACCATTTACGAGGAATACGAATGTAAAAATCACCACTATGTTGCCATATTGAACAATACTCTGGTCCTGGTAAAACGTACGATCTGTGTCCTGTTCCAAATCAACTTCGTGTTGACAGTCAGCGCCTTGGCTATACCATTGTTCCACTATCTAGTACGGAATGAGCAAATCGATATCATACCACTGATTATACCGGGTGTCGATCTGAATAGTGCTAGCGGTAATACTATCCATCAACTATTTCAAATCGCTTGTGTCTGCTTTTCGTCGTTTGCTAATATGATTCTAATCATTGTCCATATACCGCTGATGAAAAATATTCTCAAGTTGAAGTTTAATGAGTTGGATGAGATGTTGGAATTACATCCCAGAGATCGAGAGAAGACGGAGCCAATGCTAAAGGCTATTTTCCAATGGCACCAAAAATACATTTTGTAAGAACCATAAAGCCGATACAATGTAAATGTATGTGTGTATATATTTCCATTTCTTTCTGGTAGAATAACCGAAGCTATACAACAACTATTCTTCTGGATAATTTTTATTCAAATTTTTTTCGCAACACTGAGCGTAGTTGCTACCATTGTTTGTCAGTTTTTGAATGTTTGGGCTGTGGCTCCAGTGTTATTGGTATATTCGTTTGTGATCCTGTATTTTTATTGTGGTCTTGGAAATCTGGTGGACATTTCAGTTGAGTTGAAACTTAAAGGGTTTACTGTAAAATCGGTATATGCAAAAAAATTCTTAATAACACTGTCCTCTTTTAGAACGATGACCTAACAAACATTATTTACGATTGCAAATGGTATGAACTCTCGCCTACCGAACAGAAAATGGTACTCATCATGTTGAGGGTGTCGCAGAAACCGCCGACAATGACAATTGGTAATATGATGCCGTTGAGCATGAATACGGCCCTGCAATTAACCAAATCTATTTACACGGCTGCTATGCTTCTACACAATTTTGTAAAATAATTTGCGACTATATATTGGTTGGAAAATTATTTCAAAAAGTGGAAGATGTTGGATACGAATAAATTTATGATTCTCAGTATAGTGAAGGAAACATTGTTATTAAATTATTATTAGACTAGCATAGGCCCGCTACGTTGTTAGCGAAACTTTTTATAGTTAAATAAATAAACATTATTTTAGCTACGCAATATACTTTTGGATTAAGTACAAATTTGAAACATTTTTATTATAGGTTTTATATCTTAATATGTTTGTTTTAATCTCAGATCTTACTCCGTATTTCTTTCGTACAGAAACGTTAATGCTTCTATCCTACTAAATCGAGTACAAGTTCTGTAAGTTTACTATTTTCTCTATCGTCCCGTTCTATAATACTGTGTTAACCTTTTTTGTTCCTTCCGGTAATTTAATACTAATGGTAAAATATCTAGTTCGTTTTAGTACTGATAGTAGTACCCTTATAGTACAAATTACAATTTTGCACAGCGCATCATTTTTTATTCAGAGACCTGCCTTTATAGTGAAGATTTCCATTAAAATTGCAGAAATTTAGTATTTCTGGTGCGTTACGTATTACAAAATACTCAATGGTATTGTCGGTATTTTTAGTATATCCTCATAATAATGATCCAGCCCATTATTCATTACATCAAAAGATCGATCCAATGTGGTTGGAAACATCATTGGAAATATCAGTATTGTTATTTTAGAAAATTTGGAACTTTAGCATTTAAAATTGACTACACTTTAGTACTTGTGATGTTCAGCGGCTTATTGCATAGTTTCACTTATTTGTATTTGAAGTCTCGCCTGTTTTTCAATACACTAGAAATTTTAACCAAAATTCATTCATTCATGTGGGATTCGAAACTATATTTCATATAACCGTATATATTTCCATTAAACATTTTATTTACCATAGTCAAAGAGTAATACTAAAATTCGGATATCTTTCTCTAACATTTTCTATTTAGTACTTTTTACTAAAAATTAAAAAAAATACTTTTTTTAATTTGTTTAAACAAAATATACATACAAAATTTCAGGACTCTACCTCTACTCGTTCTGTCGTATAAAATATTTAGTACTTTAAGTACAAATGTCAAACAATATTGCCAAAAGCATTGTTTTTATATCCACCCGTACCGCCGTATACAATGTGTTGTACTTTTTAGTACATTTTAGAAGTTATTAATGCAAAATTTTTATGTATAAATTGTTATTGTCATAGTTCCAGATAATTATTTAATAACAGGTTCCTATCTTCATCCATTCTACCGTATACAATATTTAGTACTTGTATTCGATTCGTATTCTATTTGTTTATAATATACAAAAAATGTTCCCATACTGTGCAATATTTTGTATTAATGATGCCATTTAGTACGAATTTTCAATAAACCAAGCCTGTTAATTATAGTTGGACATTTTTGTACTCTAAATTTACATTTATATTTTTTACCATTCACTATGGTACAATATTTAGTACAATTTTGTGCATATCGGTCTATTTGTAATAGTTAAGCTACATACTAAATTTCAGATCTCAATCTATGACTTTTCCATTATAAGTTAATATTTTCTACCATTTTAGTACAAATATATTAATATATAGCATAGTTATTGTAATAATTAAATCTATGTGCCGTGTTTCAGATTTCTATTCCTACCGGTTCCATTATACTACAGTATTTATTACTAATTCCAAAAAGTTATGCTTAGAGTAAGCTACATACAAAATTACAGATTTCTATTTCTACCAGTTACATTTTATTTACATATTTAGTACTTTTTATCGCAACTTTAGTGCTAAATTAAAAAAAAAATGACATAGTATTCTATTTGTAATAGTTAAAGCTATATGTGAAATTTCAGAACTTTTTAATATATTCTAGTACTAATTAAAAAAATATGTTTGCCCATCATTCTACTTGTAATAGCTTAAGTTACATACCAAATTTCAGATATCTATCCCTACCTGTTTCATCGTAGTATAATATTTAGTACTAATTTGCAAAATTTGTTCACACATTCTGATTTGTTTATAAATGACAAAGCTGCATACCAAATTTTAGAGTTGTAGTTCCAACCGTTCTGGCGTAATACAGTTTTTAGTACTATTTAGTACCATATTTGTTCTAATTTCCAAAAAATATTTTTTGTACATCATTTTATTTTTAATGACTTAAGCTACATACCAAATTTCAGACATCTATCTCTACATTTTCCATCGTAGTATAATATTTAGTACATTTTAGTACCTTTAGTACTAATTTCCATAACTTGTTCACAAATTCTTATTTGCTAATCACTGCCAAAGCTACATACCAAATTTCAGAGTTCTACTTCCAACCGTTCGTGAATATTTATTTCAACAAACCCATTTAAACCTCTACTAAAATTTAAAAATAAATAATGTTTCAGAATTGATTTAAAAAAGTCACAATTTATTGGACTAAAACTTTTAGGGAACAATGTGCAAATTACAGGGGTAAAACTTTATGTCTCTCTTAGATTTTTGTCATCTCTGACAGTCTGTTAAAATCGCGATTAATACTACAACATCGACGAAGTTGAATCTTTCCATGTGGATGAAACACCATCCTATAGGTCGACGAGAAAACTTATTTAGTTAGTCCAAATCTTTAATCTTTGAAGAAAGACTTCGAAGCTAGTCATCTGAGTCGTATATACTTAACCTCTTTTATCTCCGCACATTAAACAAGAATGCTCTGTTTGCGGTTATCGAAGCTAGGAGTTGCTGTTGTAACGTTCAAATCCATGTTTTGGAGGTGTCTAAATCGGAGGGACAAAGTCCTTCGACTATTGGTTTGAGCCTGTGATAAAATGTAACATAAACGTGCTGGGAAATACTAAAAAATAAATGAAACCATTTTTGAAAACATATAATATATGTATAGTAGTTATCGTGCTAGTAGTTATGGAAAAGAAAACATACAAACATACGTTCATGGAAATATATGTGTTAAATAAAAAAAGAAACAACATTCCATTTATTTTATAACACATTTTAAGGAATATTTTTGTTCTTCTTAATATTTCACAAAAATTGAAACGCAGCATATAATTTATTTCTATCGTTAAGATTCAAAGCGAAACTAAAATTCACCGACGGTAAATAGGACGGGAATAATTTTTCAGTGAAGGAGAAATTTTTAGTTTCATAAAGGAAATCCTGTACAAGAAATAAAAAAATAACCATCAACCACATATACAAATTACACAATTAAACCAGCAATTCACTAATTTTTAAATAATTATTTTGTAATTTGTTTGGATATTCCGGACCTCGTTAATCTGGACTGCATTTCACAACTCATTGTGCTTACTATAATCCGGATCGTTTGACTATTTGACTCTTTCTGACACTATAATGCGGATTGTGAAGATACATCATTTTTTATGAGTTCTTTTATTTAAATCGTAGCATGGCTCGAAACTGCAGTTAGAATTTTGAGCAGTGAATGTTTTCGTTATCAGTGTACAAGTTAATGTAATGTAAAGAGGTCACACAATACTTTAGCTATTTTAGTGAAAACTGTACCTGTATAAACCGAATAGTTTATACTTGCCAGATTTCAACTACTCGTATTTCATCATTGAATTTATATGCGTGCTTTATTGAATACTGATAGCTTAACTTTACACTGATTTACCTGTCATTGAATACTCTTGAATACCAAACAACCAAGCAAAGTAAAACTTTCTTGTTTGGTTGTGATCGAACTAACTTCCCTGCTTATTCAACCATCCAATCGATGAGAACGTAGCTATTGTCATATACAGACGGGCGTTGTTCGCTCTCTCATTCGTTGTTCGACCATTAATTATGAGGTAATTAATTAGTTCCCCATATAACATTTACATTGTTCAATTCGAATCACTCTCTGAAAATAAATTAAATTTGACAGCATGAAAATATTTATACAATTTTCAAACTTTTTCAATAAAATTGAAAATGGTTTTAATTAACGTACATACATTTCCGACGTATAATACCTACGTCGGAAACCCACCCAAAACCATAGGTTTTTGACAAGCTTTACTCAAATCCATCTCAAAATTCAAAATTTTCTTTTCCAAAGGGTTCAGAGTTTTTTATTAGTTCTAGTAAGGAACAGTCAGATATATGTAAAAAACCAGTAAGGAAAGTAGTAAAGTCGGACGGGGCCGACTATATGATACCCTTCACCACTATGGATATATTAAACAGGACTATTAACATGAAATTGGATGAAATAATATATGTGATAATGTGAATCTACCTGGATATATCCATAAAGTATGTAAATCGACTTCAAACAAATATAAATAGGTCATACGTTGGGCTATGTCTGCACTTCTAGAAAACGCAACTACGTAGTTCTATGGTCAATTTTGTACGTTGTGCAAAATTTGATGTCAATCTGACTAACATGAGGAGTTTGATGTCCAATTTATTTGAAATCGGGCGAAAATATATGTGGAAGCTCTATCCAAATATTAAGCGATTTCAAGCAAACTTGTCACAGGTTAGGTTATACTAATTTCAGAACGTTTTGTTCCTATTGGTTCCTTGTTGCGTCAATTACTTAAAATATGTGAGCTATATATGTGGGAGCTATTTAGAAATCTGGACCGATTTTCTCGAAACTTGGCAGACATCACTCTAGGCTCAATTCAGTACGTTATGCCAAATTTCGTGCAAATCGAAAGATATATAGGGACTTTGGGGCACCATTTACATGAAATCGGACGAAACTATATATGGGAGCTATATCTTAATCTGGACCGATTTTCTCGAAACTTGGCAGACATCATTCTAGACCTAAATGATTAGGCTGTACCAAATATCGTACAAATCAAAAGATGTATAGGGACTTTGGGGCACCATATACATGAAATCGGACAAAACTATATATGGGAGCTAAATCTGGACCGATTTTCTCGAAACTTGTCAGACATCACTCTAGGCTCAATTCAGTACGTTATGCCAAATT